GGGACTTGGGACAACCAGAGGGAAGGCCAGTGTGGACAGAGCAGAGAGGACGAGGGGGAGCAGAGAAAGATGAGGCAGGAGGGGCTCAGACAGAGAGGCCTGGGACTTGGGACAACCAGAGGGAAGGCCAGTGTGGACAGAGCAGAGAGGACGAGGGGGAGCAGAGAAAGATGAGGCAGGAGGGGGCTCAGACAGAGATGAGCTCTGGCTGCTTCCTCAGAAGGGGAGGGGGATCCAGGAGACAGCACCGTGGGTCTGGGAGAGGCTATGTGTCCCACAAGCCTGTGGCAGCGACGTGGACCCTCCTTGACACGATTCCTGGGGTGTGGAGGACCATCTGCCCGGCAGCTCTGGGGCCAGGCCAGCCATGGGTACCCCCAGGGGGCGGGGCCAGCCACTGAAGGGCAAGGTGACATGTGCAAGAGTGGCTGGCAGATGTCAGCAACGGTTCTGAAAGGAAGCAGGATTCTTCTTCTCAGACGATGCCCGCGGACGACAAGGCAGGCCCCCCCGCGGGGTCTGGGGAAGTGGACGAGCCCGGCACTGACACACCTGAAGGTGAGCAAGGGCAGCTGGCCCTTCCGAGGGCACGGGGTTGAGGCGGGCAGGCACGGTGTTGGTGGGAGCTGAAGCAGATCTGGGAGGCAGGTAGGTGGGCAGAGGGGGGGTGGGGGTGACCCCAGCCTCGTCTTCTGGAGCTTGTAGGAATTCAGCCCAGGGTCCATGGTCACTCCTCAACCTTCCATTAAAGGTCACAGGTCCCCCTGCTGCCCCGAGGATGTCACTCAGGAGAAACGCATCCCAACACCGGAGCCCGAGCCTTGTGAGACCTCAGAGCCACCAGCCAAAAGGCTAAAAAGGTAGCTGGTGCTGAGAGCCTGCCTGGGGCTTAGCACAGGACCTGTTCCTGTCTTGCGGGAGTGCTTTGAGGAAGGCCACACCTAGCCTGCCCCTTACCTAGGGTTCCTGGGCCCCTCTGCCATCGTTTTCATGCTCTCTGAGCCTCACCGCGGGGGCCAGGCAGAAGGGTGGAGTGTGTATCTGGAAACTCAGAAAGGGGCGCAGGGTGAGCAGGCTTTCAAGTGCTAGCAGGGGGCGGGGGCTTGGTTCTCCCCAATTTCCTTGCGTGAAACCGAGACCCAGAGAGGTGAAGGGGCTTGCCCTGGGACCGGGCTTGCAAGTGGTCGAGTAAGTATCAGAATTTGGGCCTCGGTCTTTCTTGGGAACTCCCACTGAGCCTCTGGGAAGTAAGAAACAAACAAACAAAACAAAACTAAACTGACTTTTGTGGCTCCTTCCCAGGGCAGAAGAGCCTGCAGTGAAGGGGCAGCCACAGGCCAAGGTCCAGCCGCAGGCCCGGGGGAGCGTCTCGAAGCTGACACAGACACCTGAGGTGCTTCCTGAGCCTCCGGAAGCCTGCCCGCCACCTGGGCTCTCCCCACGGGTTCTGCAGACGCAGCCACAGATGCAGCCAACGTGTGCCGAGGTGCAGCCCAAGCTGCAGAAGCAGGCACAAACACAGACCTCACCAGAGCACTCAGTGCCCCCGCAGAAGCAGGTGTCACCGCAGCCGCAGGCGGAGGCTGAGCCACCAGAGCAAGTGCAGCTCCAGGTGCGGCCACAGGCACCTTCCCAGCCTCCAAGGCAGGCGCAGCCACCACTGCAGAAGCAGGCCCAAACCCAGACATGTCCACAGCTGCGGACACAAGCACAGCCAAGGGCCCCGCCCCTTGAGCAGGTGCGGCTGCAGGTCGCAGTGCCAGCACCAGAGCAAGCACCGGCTCCAGCTCAGACCGTGGTGCTGGACACACCGCCGGATGCAGCGGAAGCTGGAGGAGGTAAGCGAGCTCGGCCAGCACCCTCTGTTCTCTAGCACTGACTGCCCGGGCCTGAGGGCTGGGCCAGGAACCAGGTTCTGGCTGCCTGCCTTCCCCACCCCGGGCCCATGGCATTCCTGGCTGTAGGGAGAAGAGGCAGCCTTGAGCTTGGGTGGAAGCTGGCCTCTGGGAACTCGAGCCCACCTGTCCTTTCAGGCCCCGGGGAGGCCGCGGCAGGGCCAGTGGACAGCCAGCTCCGTGTGGAGGAGAGCCAAGAGCACTCGCCCAGCCGCCCAGATGCAGGAGAGAGTGAGAAGCGAGCTGGAGAGATGCTCAGGGTGCGTAGAGACGCTACTGTGGGAGCTGAGGCACCAGCCTGGGCCCTGGGGACTGCAGGGGGAGCTCAAGTCAGGGCCCCGCCACCCCCGGCTTCCCCTATCTGTGACATGGGATGACAGCCCTCCCATCCCTTGGGGCACATAGGCAGAGCAGACCTGGGTTGGTCCAGGCTGGCGCTGACCCACGTAAGCCCCCATCTGGTAAGACATGGAAGTGATCACTCTGCTCCTGGTACAGATGTGGGGTGCCGGGGGCTCCCTGAAGGTCACCATCCTGCAGAGCAGTGACAGCCGGGCCTTTAGCACTGCCCCCCTGACTCCCGGGCCCCGTCCCAGTGACTCCACCCCCGCTGCTGCCAGCACGCCTTCCCAACAGGGCCTACAGTTCTTCTGCTACATCTGTAAGGCCAGCTGCCCCAGCCAGCAGGTACTGTACCCGGGGGCGTGGCCTTGGGGGGGGGGTGGCGTCCAGCCTGCCCCTTCCATACCTACCTCCCCGGAGCTGCACTAAGGCCCTACAAGCCCTGCCCCTGGAACAACCTTTCAGAGTTAGGCTGCCGGGCTGAAGGCTGTGTGGGGGTTGCCACAGCTCCTGCAGATCCCACACCCTGGCCTGGAAGTCACCCAGCCCCAGGCTGGGTCCAGGGTGAGCTTTCACCCACAGCCACGCCCTGTTACCGCGACCGTTCCCTTCCAATACTCTCAACTCTGCTCCAAGCGTGGACACGGAGACCGGGTGTTAACCAGACAGCTCTTTGTCTTTGAGGCTTGGGCATTCCCAGGCAGCATCCCCCCACCCCACCTCCCCACACACAGCCAGCCTCTTCCCCGGAAGGTCACACATGGGGGCTGGTGCGTGCTCCCTCCATGCCTTGGCTTACCCTCCCAAGGCTGTGGTGAGATTGCTGTCCACACGGCAGGAGCGGGGGGAATCCTCCTGCCCGGGCCCAGGCCTCACCCTCGTCCTCCCTGCCTCAGGAGTTCCAGGAGCACATGGCAGGCGCCCAGCACCAGCAGCGACTTGGGGAGATCCAGCACATGAGTCAGGCCTGCCTCCTGTCCCTGCTGCCCGTGCCCCGGGACGTCCTGGAGAGAGAGCAGGAGTGAGTGGGAGGCTTCAGAGGCTCAGTGCCGGGCACTGAGTGGGCAGACTCGGAGGGTGGGCCAGGCCGAGTTCCCCACCAAGGCTCTGATGCGTCCATTAGCAAGCTCTTTGGGTTCAGCATTGCCCTCCCTGGAGCCTTGTGCCCGCTGCGCCTTGTGTGCGTGGGAACCTCAGCCCTCCCCGTCCCTAAGCTGGCCTGGCGGTGGGTATGGTATCAGGTACCGTGAAGCAGGTAGTCTGTTAGGGTCCCATCCATGTAGGAACAGTGTGACCAGCCACGGGGGAGGCGCGGGCGGGGACACAGCTGTATCTGCCTCTGATTGGGGGGTGGGGCACGATGTCAAGGGCCAGGTCCACCTCCTGATTCGCCGCCTCTCCGTGTGACATTTTCATGGGGGGTCAGCCCCACCTAAGTGCCACCTCTCCTGTGGAAGGCCCTGGGCCTGCAGGGGCTGTGAGGCGTCATCCGTGAGAGACGTGGGCCGTGCTGGCCCGGCCCCCTCAGGGGTGTGGACTGTACCTCATAGGCAGCCGCCCCTCCTCCACCCTCCCAGCTTTCCCAGAGGACCCAGAAACCTAGATTTAGACGTGAAGACTCCCCGTTTCAAAATGGAAAGCAAACACTGGGAGACCGAACCCATCCATCCCAGGCCGGCCAGGCCCTCAGTCACAGTGAGCAGGGACAGGGCTGCGTGAGTTTATAGCTCATCTCTTGAAGCTCCCCAGATGGGGGCAGAAGGTCTCAGGGGGCCTGTGCTGTACCCCTCCAGGGTTAGGGAGCCTCGTCACTTCGTTCCCCCCTCAGCGAGAGGAGCTGCCTTCTGTGGGGTCCCGGCGTCTGCTCGAGCCTTAGGAGCCCTGGTGGTTACGCACTGGGCTGCGATCTACAAAGTCTGTAGTTCAAAACCACCAGGGACTTTCTGCTCCCATTAACAGCTACAGGGTTGGGTCTCAAGCCTTAAGCCGCCCTCTGCTGGCAGACCCAGGAATTACACTTGAGAATCATACACCCCGCCAGCATCCTCATCGGACAGCCTTGGCTACCCTAGAACGAGCAGATGCATTATGATGGAAAATAATTCCTCAGTGTCACGTCCCAGGCCTCTTCTCAGCAAGGAAATTTTCAGCTTTCTTAAAACTTCCTAATAAGCCCCAAGAAAGCACCCTGCTTGGGCTGCTAATTGTGAGGTCAGCAGTTCTAACCCACCAGTAGCTCCAAGGGAGGAAACTTGAGGCTTCCTGCTCTGTAAAGACTTACAGCAGCGGTTCAGAACCTTCCTCATGCTCGACCCTTTCATGCAGTTCCTCATGTGGTGGTGACCCCCAATCGTAACATTATTTCTGTTGCTACTTCACGACTTTCATTTTGCTACTGTTATGAATCGGGTGACCCTTGTGAAAGGGTTGTTCGACCCCCAGGTTGAGAACCGCTGATTTACAGCCCCGGAAAGCCCACAGGGCAGGCCTTCTCTGCCCTATCGGGTCGTTGTGTCAGAAGTGATTTGCCTGTCCCCTTGGACTGTCCCCCCACAGTCACTCACCCCTCCTGTCCGCGCTGAGTTTAGCTGGCCAGCACTTCCCCTCCAACGCCACGGTGCAGATGGGGCCCTTTCCTTCCAAGGCCCCACCTAGACTGACAGGGGTCCTGCTGGTGTGGTGGGCTAGCAGCGGACTGCCAGGCCCACCATCTCTGAAATCTACCGAGGGCCGCCCCGAGTGGGAGCCCAGCCAGTGGCAGTGGGTCTGGTTGTCTGAGTGTAGCCACAGATGACTGAGCCGTGTTTAAACACACACTGTAACCCTCATAGGAGGGGAGGGGCGTCACAAAACTTGGACAAAAATCGAACGAAAAGCTAATGGACCTTTTCCATGAGCTTTTTGAAGCCCCTTCACGGCAAGACTTTCTGACTCACCTTTGCATTATCCACAGCTTCCCTACATCCATTTACCAGACGTGACGTTCTTACCCACGTCGGGCCTTGTCTTGGACTTCCTGTCCTGCCTCATTGATCCGCTGCAGCCCCACTGTTGTTTTAATGATCAAGTGCTTCTGCCTCGGTTCTCTGACCCCCCAGACTCTCCTTGGTTATTTTTGATAAAGCTTTTATCCGGATGAACCTCATGGATGGGCCTTTCACGTTTCCAAGGAAGATCCTAATGGAATTTAAATAGGAATAGGGAATGGCATTGCATGTATGGGGTGCTCTGGGAGAGCTGCTCATTAGAATATGTCATGTCGGCACCTTCTCATTCTTCTGTCATTCAGAGAGCCTCCCCCCAGGCGCTGGTGCAACACCTGCCAGGTCTACTACATGGGGGACCTGATCCAACACCGCAGGACACAGGACCACAAGGTGAGCAGGCTGCGTGACCGGATGACACCAGCCTGGGCCAGCTCCAAGCCGAGGGCTGAGGCCGGCGGGGTCCCGGGGGACGGTGGAAATAGATGTTGGCATCTTCATGGCCATCGCTCAATGTGTGGTTCCTGGATGAACCATCTTTTATGTCATCTTTGGGTCTCAGTTTCCCCATCTGTCCAATGGGGGCAAGGCAGTATCTTGCCCTGCTATTCAACCATGTGGCTGGTGGTTTTCTTTAAAGGGACTGCTGTCCTCCCTGTCCGTGCCCTGTCTCTTTGCTGCCATCTCTCAGCCAGCCGCACAGGGAAGGGATGCTTTGGTCTAGCTTCCGGTGCTGCCCGGTGCTGGGGCAGTGTGCAGCTGGGCTTTTTACAGGTGTGGTGGGCCTGCAGGTGAGAAGTGAGTTCTGTCTGCCACTACCTGGCCACTCACCCGGGGCTGCACTGCCTGCCCCGACTTGACCTGCCCTCCTCGTCCTAGATCGCCAAGCATTCCCTGCGACCCTTCTGCACGGCCTGCAGCCGCTACTTCAAAACCCCCCGCAAGTTTGTGGAGCACATGAAGTCCCAGGGGCACAAGGAGAAAACCAAGGAGGTAACCCCAGCTCCTTCAGAGGGCAGGGCCCAGAGAGGCCCAGAGCCATGGCCAAGGCCACACAGCAGGCTGGGGTCTATTTCAGCCCCAGCTCGTTGTAGGTCTGGATGGAATGAGATTTGGGGGTGACGTGGCAGGGTGGCTGCTTAGAGCTGACTGGCCCCTTGCCCTCTCCCCTGGGCAGCTGAAGATGCTGGAGAAAGAGTTAGCTGGCCAAGATGAGGATCACTTCATCACGGTGGATGCTGTGGGCTGCTTTGAGGGGGACGAAGAGGAGGAGGAGGAAGAGGAAGAGGAGGAGGAAGAGGAAGAAGAAATCGAGGTTGAGGAAGCGTTCTGCAAACAGGTGCTGGGGACGAGGGGATGAAGTGAAGCAGGCTTGAGGCTGGCCTCCCGGCCTAGAAAGGCCCCTTCTCCTGAAGCCCGCACTGTGGGGCGCTAATGCAAGCCACACGCTCTTATTAATGGGAACTCCGCACTTAGGACTGCACAAGCACTCATCATGATTCTAGGCTCGGCAGGTGGAATTTGCACAGGCCTACAAGGCAAAGGGATCCCTAGGGGCTTCTAACTGCAAGGTCAGTAGTTTGAAACCAGAAGCGCTCTGAGGGAGAAAGACAGGGCTTTATAGAAATTCCCATACATTATTGCAGCCTCAGAAACCCACGGGGGCAAGCCTACCCTGTCCTATAGGGTCGCTGAGAGCCAGCATCCATCCCGTGGCAGTGAGTTTGGTTTTGGGGTGAGAAGGTACAGACTTGGAAGGCGGGCTTGCCCTTTAGAGGCAGAGGATGGATGGCAGGCACGCCCACCCTCCTGGTGACCAAGGGGCAGGCAGATGGGAGCGCCCAGGGTCGGGCACAGCCCAAGCCACGGAGTACCCTTGTCCCTTGCCAGGTGAGGCCCAGGGATCTAGCTGGTGAGCAGTGGAAGGACTCTGAGACCCACCCACCCAACACCATGTATGGTAAGACCCCGCTGCCACAGCCGATCCGGGCCACTGATCCCATGCCCTCGGCTCTTCTGCTCCATACCCCCGCCCTGGAGTGGGCCCCTTGAGAGGGTGGGGCACTCCTGGCGGGCACAGGGGTAAGTGTGGAGACCTGCTGTCCCACAGGCATGGACTTCCTTGTGCCCGTGATGGGGTACGTCTGCCACGTGTGCCGCAAGTTCTACCAGGGTAATTCTGGAGCCCAGCAGTCCCACTGCAGGTCCTTGGCCCACTTCGAGAACCTGCAGGTGAGCTCTGACGGGGACAGCCGGGCCACCTCCCTCCTGGGACAGGGGTGGGGGGGCTCCACCATCAAGGAGTCAGAGCCAGGGTGGGGCTGGGCACTTGCTCCTCGGAATCACGCTGTGTACTCCCGAGACTGGGCTCAGAGAGGGTAAGCACGCCACCCAGGGTCCCCCAGTACATCCCAGCTGGCTTGGCCCGGAAGGAGCGCAGTGAGTAGGGAGGAATCCCTGATCACGGCCCCCACCCTCTGTGCCCAGAAACACAAGGCGGCCAAGAACCCCAGCCCCACCACCAGGCCCGTGAGCCGCCGGTGCGCCATCAACGCCCGAAATGCCCTGACGGCCCTCTTCACCTCAGGAGGCCGCCTGCCCAGCCATCCCAGCACCCAGGACACAGCCAAAACCCCCAGCAAGGTGACAGCCAGACCCCCTGAGCCCCAACTACCCCGGCGCTCCACCCGCCTGAAAACCTGATAAAGGGTATCAGTGCCCGGCCAGTGCTTCTGGGGCCAGGCCTGCTAATGCGTCACAGCAGCGTGTCGGGAAACGGACGGGGTTAGTGTTTTTACTTGAAATCCAATAAAATGTAGTTTTGGCCGCACCACAGGCCTCCCCAGCACTCTGTCTGTCTGTCTGTCTGTCTGTGACAAGGGAGGCACCCCAGCCAGCTCTCGGCCCAGGTCCAGCCTCCCTGGGCACAGTGTGGCTGCAGGGCCTGAGAAGCAGGGGCTTGGAGATCACAAGGTGTCTCAGCACAGGGCCCCCACCCCTCCAAGTAATTTACCAGGGCTTCTGGGACAGTCTCATGTACTCTTTGCAATGGCCCTAAGAGGGCCTTGTGGTTTTCCCCACTTTGCAGACAAAGAAACAGAGACCTTGCAAAGTCAAGTGACTTGCCCAAGGTCACACGGCTGGTAAGTACCCTAGGTTCAGTGCCAGGGCCTCAGTGTTGGACCTCTGTGCTGCCTGTGGTTCCGAGTTCTTGGATCCATCCCTAGAGGGGGTGGGAGGTGGGACAAGCCCTCTTCAACAACTAGGCCCTCGATGAATCATGAGTGGACCTCCCCGCGTGGGAAGACCTTTAGCGATAGACAGCCAGCCCAAGCCTGCTATTAGCCACCTGGGGAGAGCAAGGCCCAAGGTCAGGCAGGCACAGGTCAGTCTGTGGCCTTGGGTTGTCTCTGTGAAAGGCCCCTAGAAGCTGAGTGGGTCACACAACAGAGGGCACAGCACATTTGAGGCTGGGGTCGCAGTGCTGGCCAACCCGCCTCGGGTGGGAAGAAGGCCTTACCCCAGCTGCACCCTCAGTGTCCTTGGCTGTGAGCTGCCAACACATGATTGATCCGAGGCTACGCCTTCGACTGCCCCTGGGCACCTGGGACCCCTGGAGCCCCAGCCAGCAGCAGAGAGAGGCGAGAGGCAGGGCTGTGGGAGAGACCCGTTTAATGGGGACACTCAAGGCCTGGGTGGAGCAGGGAGTGCTCGGGAGGTGGGCAGACAGGCAATGTGAGTGGGTGGCAAGCCCATGCCCTGGCTCCAAGATGGGACGCTGGCTGGGCGGCAAGGGCCTGGGAGCGCTGTGAAGGTGACCCAGACAGGCAAACTCACCCGGGGACCCACAGGCCAGCCCGTGAGAAGCTGCCTACTCAGGCACTGGAGCCGGGAGGCCTGGCTGGGCTCTCCTGGAGCCTAGTGGGCGGCATCCCTGGCGGCGCCGCCAAGCTGCTGCTGGAACTCTCGGCGCGTCTGCCGGTTGGACTCGAGCAGCTCCTGGAGGCGGGCGTGGAGGTGGTCGTTCTTTTCCTCCAGGTGGTCCAGACACGAGTTGATTTGGTCCAACATGGAGTTGATGGCGGCATATTCTAGAAGAAGGGGAGACACAGCCCGGGTCCCGTGCTTCCCTGGGACATCCCCCAACGCGCGTGCGCGCGTCCACACAAACACGCTCCCCCAGCCTCTGCCTCGGGAAGGTCCCCGGCAGCCTCCGGAGCCTCATGCTTGACGGCTGGAGAACGGATGGGGTTAGCAGGAGGGGAAGGGCTCTGCGCCACCCTGTCTCCAGGAGGAGGGTGCCCAGCCAGCCAGTGTCTCACCGGGGAAGTGTTGCTCCCTCCGCAGCTGCCCAGAGCTCAAACCCCGAGTCGGGCACTCAAGGCATCGGTCCCCAGGGCCTACCTCCCTCCCCTCTGCGCCCTGGACAGGCCCTGCTTTCCAGCTGGGGTCCCCTGCACCCTCAAGATAAAGCCCAAGGCCTGCAGCAGGACCCACGGGGGCTCCCTTCTCCTGCCTTTTCCTCCCTCACACCTGCCTCTGCCTGTCTCCGGCCCCTTGAACACGCTGTTGCCTCTGCCCGGGACACACTGCGTCCTGCCTGCCTGCCTTCCCTGCCCTCGTCCTGAATGAATCCCACTTAGCCTTCAAGTCTCAGCGTGGATGGTGCCACAGGGAGCCCTCCTGCACACGCCCTATTCCTGACCCCACTGCATAGGATGGGATGGACGCGGTGGTTATCAGTGTGGGTCTGGCCTAGAGCACTGCTGCTCCCCAGGGCTGTGCTGTCACACAGTAGGCATTTTGCTGGGTGAAGGAATGAAGCTACTGATTTCTAGCCTCTCTGTCTCTGCTCAACTCTGTCGTTGCCTGCCGCCTGGAATACCTCACCATCCTTTCAAGGACCAGTTCAAAACACCTCCCCCCAAAAGCCTTTGCTGGCCTCCCCCACTGCCACTCCTGACCCGTCCTCGCAGAGACACGCTGTCCTTTGGGGCCAAGGTCTGGGCCCGTGCCCATTGCAGAACCCAGCCCGGAGCCAAGCCATGACTCAGGCCCCTTCGGACCAGACACTCCGTTACCAGCTCGGGCCCCAAGGGGAAGTCGCTGGTAGTGACTGGAAAAGGCCCAGGCCAGACGAGCATGACTGGGTGTGACTGGGTCTGCATTCAGGAGGAAGGGCACCCGTCACCCCATGGGTGGCGCACCTCACAGAGGACAGTCTGGCAAGTCTCAGCTGGATCTTAGACTACCTCGCTGGTGGTGCAGATGGGTAAACTGAGGCCCACAAAGGAAGGCATTAGCCCAGGGTCCGTCAGGGGCAGGGACAGGCAGCCCTCCTTTGATTTGCAGCTCTGCTGCATGCCAGTAAATTATTGCCTCTCTGGAAAGGGGGGATTATGACGGGTTGGGGATTGTGAGATTAGCGGTAGATGAGTTTGGGCCAGCTTGGCCACGGCAAATACTTAATAGCTGGTCATCACTATCTTTGACACTGTGTGTCATGGGACACAGGCCAGAAGAAGGGATTGGGGGGGGGGGCGCGTGCACAGAAGTTCCCATACCATTCCTGGATGAGGCACTGGTCCAGGTGTCAAGGGCACTGCCCAGTTGCAAGCCTCTGCCTTCTCTGCCCAGCACATCCTCTGCCCACCTTCCTCCAAGTCCTATGAATCTGCCAAAACCCCGGAGGTGACCTCCCCCTGGCAGATCCTTTCAGGGCCTCACTGCGGCTACACCACTCCCTGGCCAAGGCTCTCCTGCCACCAGTGATCAGAGACAACTGGCGGTTGGTCACCAGCATGTCCCTAAAGCTCACACGGTCACTCAGCTGCTTTAGAAGCAGGCCATGATGAAGAGGTTCTACAGTTGATTTGGTGCGATTTGGATTGGACACTTTACATGAGTAGATCGTGTGGTGTGTGAAAGAGTGCTCAAAAAAGGGAAGGGAAAGGAAAAAAAATTTTTCCTCACATTTACTAAGCTTTTCTCTCTAAGTTAAACCAATCTTTATTTCACTAAGGGAGAATAAGAATAACCACTCATCATCTGCATGCTTGGGAACCATTCACTTTTTCACTTAACTCTTGACACATCTCAGTGAAGGGGACTTTAATCATTTTTCCTAACTTCACAGATGGGGGGGGGGGTTGGTTTTCCCTGCCTGTCCACACCTCACCCCCCACCCCTGCAGTCCTGCATTCAACAGGGTGCTTTGTAAACAGGTCACATCAGCAAGGGTTGGGGACCACACCAGCCACCAGCCTGGAGATGCTGATTCAGCTGAGGGAGTGCGCCCACCGGTCAGCACCTCCTGCAGACCCGACCGACCCCACCCCCCTCTAGTGCCTTGATCTCCCTAGGGGCTGCAACAAATAGCCCAGGGTCCCCCCACCTGTAAACTGAGGCCAGACCCCCCCAGTTCTCCAATGCCGCAGTTTCCAGGGACCCGGTCACCCTGCATACCCGAGGCAGTGCCTGCAAGTTGGGGACCCACCTAAGGGTGGAGGAAAGGAGAGCTCTTCCAAACCCCAAACCCGGTCCCAATTCCCGGTCCCAGGGGGACAACCCTGCAATGGCAAAGGTCGCATCAGGCCCTCCTCGGTCACCTGCTTCCCCGAAGCTGTCGTCCTCGCCTTCCGCATCCGCCTCCACCGGCGTGCCCAGGTCCCCGTTGGGGCCCGACATTGCGGGCTCGGGTGCCACCAGGGCCGCACGAGGATGGAACTCCGGGTGGGTCGCGCCGAAAGCCGGCGCCGGGCGGAACCTAGCAGCCGCAGACGGTGC